GCAATCTGGTCTTTTCCAGCTCGGACTGCTTGGACATAAGCGGCATGGCCCCGCTGCAGATCACGCCGCCCTCCGAGAAGAAGCGGGTCCTCAAGCGGCCACCCATCCTGGAGGACTACATCAACGTGACGTCCACCGAGGGCACCAGGGTCTTCATGGTCGTGAGGGATGATTCCTCCAGGACAGGGGTGGAGGTAAGGCAGGATCTGAAGGCCAGGCTTGCTTCTTTGTGACCTCCACCCAGTTCAGGAGGGGATCTTCGATGAAGGGTGGAATGTTTGTGCTGAGCATCAGCGTGAACGTCGGTGCGTGTGTCCTCTGCTCCTCGCAGCTCCCCGATTCCCTCGGCTGGAACGCACGCAGGCCGCTCCACTTGCTGGGGGTGCCTTTCTCCTACCTGAAGGAACAAGTGGATGAAGAGGTATCACATCTTACACCCACCTTCCCATTTTCCCCTGCCACCCCTGGACAGCCACAGCGTTGGCTCCTGAATCCCCGCTCCCCCTGGCTGCGGGTTAGCGGGGTGTCTCTGACCCCCCTCTCACCTTCTTTGCGCTCAAGCGTCGAAGGCGTGTTCTGCAGGCGTCGCAGCAGCTGACAGACATAATAAACAGGTGAGACGTTGGGATGAAATCCCACTCCTGTCCCTGCCACGCTGTCGGATGCAGCTCCCAAGGTGCTCCAGTGGGGTCCAAGTTTTGGGGACCTGCGAGCAGAGGAGCCTTTTCGCCCTCAGCATCCCCAGCTGGGGAAGTCTGGGTGTGATTCTCAGCCCTGCCCCAGCTCCCTGGGTGGTTTGGGGCAAGTTAATTCTTTCTTGCAGTTGCCTTGAGAGCCAAACCAGTGCCGAGAGCCCGGAGCTCACCGGGGAAGCGGAGCCAGCAGTCGAGGAGGAGTCTGTGCTGCATTGCCTCTGGGTGGACAAGTTTACTCCCCGGCGCTACATGGAGCTGCTCAGTGATGATGTGAGGTTCTGGGATAAGTGGGGGCTGGGGGTTTGGGTGGGCTTACCGCTTTTATAACCCTCCTTAATGCTGTGGGATCGTGGTTTTATGGCGCTGCCTTTGCTCGTGGGGCTTTTGGAAGCGCCGGCTGGGGGGGCTCTGTCCGTGCTAGCCCTGCCTGGGAGCAATCCTGCTGCGGAGAGCTCGGGGCAGGGGTTTTTCAGCTGTAGGCTGTGCATCTTCTGAAAAAAAAAGAGTATGGAAGATGACCAAAATAAGACAAAAAAGATTGGGTGGACGTTAGCCAGGAATTGTTGGCTATTTTGATTTTTTTTTTTTTAATATTAGAAGTTTTGTAGGGAATTGGAAATTATGGAAGAGGCTGAGAAGTGCTGGGTTGAGCCAAGACAGGCGAGGGACAGCAGGGTTAGGGCCGATGCCACTTGTCCTCAGTTGCCCCGCAGGATGGTGGCTGAGCCGGGAGGGGGAGGCCCCGTCCCAGGC